TCATAAATTCCATATTTATCTTAGGTCTCTGGGTACCTGAAGTGGTTCGCAGATTATAGCAAAAAAGTTTGTATGTGTGAAATTTGAAGAAAGATTGAGGGTTTTTTTCGCTTTCTTTGATCGTTTCGTTTTTGAAAATCTTGAACCTGTCCGATCTCTACCATCTTTATAACGGATCTTTTGTTAATAAAAATATTGAGATGTACCAAGTCTGAATGGAATCGGATGTTAATTTCGCAATCTATGAGGATATACAAAATTTTTACTCTTTGTGGAGGAGGTACCAACAAAAGTTGACCGATATATATTGGGATGTGTGAAATATGAAGAGAAACGGATGGTTATTTCGATTTTATAATCGTTTCAAAAATTTCAAATCAAAATTCATTCAAAATTTTGACCCTTTTTTTGGCCCTTTTAAAATTCTATTAAACCGCGAATATTTTTAATTCCAGCAAAATCAAAAATACCCAAGGAGGTCACTCCTGAACCTTACATTGATGCCGATATTCACGATATCGCATATATAGCAAAATATATAAAATCTCATATATCAATGAGAGGGATGTTAGTTAGAGCGCTTATAACTTAAATACGGCTGGATGGCCAATTGGCAGAAAAGATTAAAATCTAGAAACATCGCATAAAAATATGTTAATAAAAATATGAATACTTTTCAGTAATGTTTTGAATTATTTTTTTTTTTCATATTTTTTATCGTATGTGATTTTTTCAATTTGACTTACAATATTAAATTTTACATTTTGTAAAATTTTTTCACTTTACAACACTATGTTGTCGCAATTTTCGTCCAATCTTCAGGACATTTTTTGGAAAGCTTTACGATCAGAATAGAAGCCTATTTCTTGGAAGATATTAGCAAAGTATTGTCTAGATTTTGAAGTCGCCCTTTTTCAACTAATGACCAATAGACATGGAATTTTTTTATAGGGTTAGAGTTTAGGACCGCGCCGAGGCCTAGCATTTGGATGGTCATCGGATAATATTTAGCTGTTGAAATGGACAAAAATATGAAAGGTCCTGAAAGGTGACCTTTACGTTAATATTGATTTTTTTGAAGAATATAGCCAAATATCGGAGATATAGGAAGGTATATTGAGGAATCTAAAAATATAACTTTGAATACCCATTAAGAGATTCAATCCTTGTATTTGTTTCGGCTCTTGGAAAGATACAGGGTTTTGCTTGTGTTTAAAGATTTTTCGAATTTTCCAATATTTCTATTTTCAACTTTTTGGGGTATACCATTTATGTTTGTGTTTTTTTGCATATTTGTTGTGCGCAGGCTTATCGCATTAGCTGATATTAGTCATTTTCAAATAAACTCGCATTTAGTTCACCAAAGCAAATTTACTTGAAATATTTTGCTTAATTTTTTTTTTTTTTTTTTGGTTTCCAAAACTTTCCAACCGCTTTAAATGAAATTTAAAATATTTTTCCCAAAAAATAACTTTATGAGGTTTTTCAAGATTTTATTAATAAATAAAGTGTGGAGGGAGGAGAGACCTCCCAACAATATTGTCCAACTAAAGAAACCTCAAAATAGTTCTATGCTCCAAAATGATTTTCTAACGAAATGGTCTTTTTTATTGAAAGTGGTTTTCTAATGAAAGTGGTGTTATGGGGGGTTCTTGTGGCTTTATAATTGCTTTAAGTAAGGTTTACTAGAAGTATGGAAGTTGTACATTTTCACATCACATTCTGCTTCTGGGAACTTACAATTCTTATATTCCTGTTAATTTTCTAAAAAAATGTGATTGTATATACTTTATTTTTTTTTAATTTTTTCAACCGCATAGATACGTTCTTTTTGGTGTTTTTTTTTTCTTGGCAAGAAACATATAAAAACAAATAAAGAAAATATTATCACAAATTTCACCGCACAGTGATATGAACATTTTTGAATGCTTTGAATGATTTGTGGTCAATTCTCTGGGTGATTTCTACAAGATATGGTTACAGATTGTGAAACTTTTAAGTCTTTGAATATCATATCAAAAATTTGTATTATATTTTAAGCATATTTTTTTTATTTAGTTAGGCCCGAGGTCAATAGAATAATAAAAAAAATATTTCGATCGGCATCGACTATCATTATCAGGGATTGAAATTTGTTTTTCTTCTCAAAACAATTTTACTTCCACATCATTTTACAGAGATTTTCAGGCGTAATTTTTTTATATTTTATAAGATTTTGTCTCCAAACAATGCAAATATCGGAAATTTCAAAAAATGAATTCAAATTGTAAAGATGGCATGCCTATTATCAATTTCAAAATAACTTGGAAATCATACGTAAATGCACTTTTATTTTATCAGATTGAGTCCCACAAATAATAAAAATATATCGGAAATTTCTTAAAATTGAACTAATTTATGTATGCCCATGTAAATTTTACGACACATACTGTTCGTCTGCATTTTTTTCTCCAGCTTTTAAAGCTATCACATTACTTGAAACCATAAAAAAATCTTCAGGACACACGTCATAAACGTGCTATTTTCAAGTGGCTATCAGATAACAATATCAAAGAATAAATATGATAGTATAAAATATTTTAAGAATATTTGTTTTTCAAGACCTAGATACAGATCTTCAAAAGTCAAGTTTTTATATATTTCTAAAAAATGAGCTTACAAATATTTTTTCGAGATAAACTATCAATATGGTTATGTGTGTTTTTTTATTTTATTTGAACGTGGATTTCTCAAAATTCTTATTTTGAAAGTGGGAATTTTTAAATTAATATTTAGAAGTTATTTTTTATTTCTTGTTTTAAAAGTGTTTTTTATTTTTTAATGTTCGTCTGTCCATCTTTTGTATTCAAGTAAGAATTCAAACGGCATGGGCTAGAAAGCTAAGATTTTGCATAGAGCTGTCTGCAGGCAGGTCAAGTTCGAAGATGAGCTGTATCGGTCAACGTTTTCATATACCTCACCCCCCCCCCAATTTAATTGTACCTCCCTCTATTAGGTATTTTGAGGACTTTAGTCCACTTTCTTGCAAAAAAATATGGTATTTGAAGTTTCTAATAGATTCTATCTCATATGACAGAACATTGTATATGCAGATCCACATTTTGGAATAGCCCCCATTTAATCCCGATGATTTTAACCTCTGTTTCCAGCGGTATATATATTTTGATGACTCCAGCCTCAGTTTTTATCGTAATGATATTTATAGCTCAAAATGGGTTCTACGTACTGTGACAGAACCATCCGATTTTCGGTATTTTGATGATCAGTGCTAGGTCAGGTGCCAAATGGACAATACCGACACACTCCATCAAGTATCTCCCACACAGAAATGCCAAATGTTGGAAAATTAAAATTCTTATAAAATACGAAATGGACATCCAAATCTCTTCAAATTTCACACATCCCAATATTTTTATTAACAAAAGATCTTGTGTGAAAATGACATATATCGGTCCACTCCTTCTGGTACCACCCCCCACAACCCCTCCACAAAGGGTCATAATTTTCAATACCTTTATTTTCCAGAGAATTTTCCAGAAAAAAGGTTATTCGTGATCGAATTCAAGCGTGATAGTGTGATTTCTTTACATTTGGCTGGAAAACCACAAGTGGCTATCGTTAGAGCACTCCAGCATTTAAATGTGAATAAATCTTTTGTGCCTCGTACTATCGCTCGTTACCGTGATACTGGTAGCGTAGCTCGACGTCAAGGAAGTGGACGGAAGAAAACAGAAACATCAGCAGAAATGGTTCGAAAAGTAAAGAAGTGACTTGATCGAAACCCGCGCCGCAGTGGCCGAAAGATGGCTCGTGAGCTGAACATATCACAACATTCCATTCGGCATAGATTGAAAAATGAGTTCGGGGTAAAGCCAGTGAAATTCCAAAAAGTTCAAGAACTTACACCGCCACAGAATAGACGAGCTAAAGATTTTCTTCGTTTGGCCGAAAGTGGTGAACTGACGAATTTGGTTTTGTCCGATGAGAAACATTCGTTGTGCCGCAGTTTGTAAACAAACAAAATGATCATGTTTACTTGCCAAAGAGGTCAGCTGAAAATGAGAACCTTCGGTTGGCCACCAGAACTCAAGCGCCGGCCATGGTGTGGGCCGCCATAACAGCCGATGGTCGCTCTCCGCTCGTATTAATCGACCGTGGCATCAGAATAAATGCCGAATATTATCACGAAAATATTGTGGAGGGTGTATTAAAGCCTTGGGCACGCAGGCATTTTGGCCGCAAACCTTGGACGTACCAACAGGACTCAGCACCATCGAACCAAGGATGGTTACAAAATGAGTTTCCTCGCTTCATTTCCAGCGCACAATGGCCACCAAAATCTCCGGATAATAATCCGTTGGACTATTGTGTCTGGGGTATTTTGGAAAGCAGGGTTGACACTAAGAAATACCAAAGTGTCGATCATCTCAAGCAAGCGCTTCGCTGAAAATGGGCCAAAATACCGCAGAGCAACATTCGGGCAGCGTGTGACGGTTTCATTGGTTGTTGGAAGGCTATAATTCGTGTCAAGGTGACCAAATCTAACTTATTCTAAATTTGATGTTATTTCCGACATTTTCTACTTCCATTAAATAAAATTTAAAAAAAAGTAAAAAGTATATCGTTTGACTTTGTTGCAGTTTTTTTTATCTCACCCTGTATATTCTTGATCAGCGTAAACTTGAATTTCGTAATGACTTCTTTAACCTACGACAGAAAATTGTGTATACAGGTCCCCGTCTTCGTATAGCTGTCATATAGCGGTTTTTATTTAATGGTAGTTTTTTTCTTTTTAAATTTTAAGAATGCATTTTGTAGGTTTTTTTTAATTTTGGAAGTGAATTATTGGAAATATATATTTTTTTTATATTTTTAAATAATATATTTGTCAATTTTTGGTTTTTTAGAAGAATTTTTCAATGAGTATTTGTATTATAGGTATTTACTCGTACTTTATTCATTAAATTTCCATAATATTTTTTCCTTTCATATTTTTACAGTACGCACCAGTAATCCCTACTTCCTGTGCTCAGCCCTGCCCGCACATTGGCGTTCAAATAAAACCCTGCCGATTGCATTCAAAGTCGTGGCGCTGGTCGATGTGGGAGATGGCACAAATGTTTATATCCGTGCTGGCAACGATGAGAACTGCTGTGCCGAATTACGAAATGATCGGGCAACAATGAAAGATCAAGTGGCCAAATTTAATGATTTGCGTTTTGTGGGACGCAGTGGAAGGGGTAAGTAATCATCCAAGTTGTATTTATGAATGAATTCTCACACATGATCCCCATGGATGATCATTGATTGGGTGTAGCTTTATTGACCCCCTATCGCCCCCTCTCTTCCACAACAATGATCACTTCAGAAGTTCACTCACAGAAGTCTTCACATTAACCTTTGACGGTTTTGCCAGGCCATGGCCCGGGGTCAGCATGCAACAGAAGCATGATGTGGCTGATATTGATGATGACTACCTGCCTGGCTGCCTTCTGTGTGTGAAAAGAATCATTTGGTTGTGGAGATGATGGACGGTGGATGCATGTCCAATGGTTACAGTTCAACGCTTCCAAATTTGTTTTTGGCAAAGTGTTTTGGGTACTCGTGTTTCCCTAATTTTTGTCTCGAGAGTAACAACTGACATCTTTTTAGGACTTTTGTGTCGTGTCTTTGGATCGAGAGCAGATATAGGCTTCAAATGCTTTTCCGAGTGTTCCGGCGGCAAATGTACTTGTTGCCATTACAGGCAGGCAGACAGACAGACAGAGGAACTCTTTACAAAAAAAATTATGAAAAGGAAGTCTTTGGCCTAATGAAAGTCCTTCGTCACAGGTTTCAATGTCTAGCTGTCGGCGATCGACATGAACGATCATTCATGTGTGTTGCTGGGCCAAGTGTCTTCTGTGCTCAGGTTCTAATTGCATTTGCTTTTATTTTGACACGCAACACGAATTGTTTGCCATTCTGTCTTGGGCTAATAATCGATTTCGTTTCCATTTCATTCTTGTAACGAGCAATATGTTGTGCTTAGGGATTAATTAGTTTACAGAGTTACTAGGATATGAATGCGTCTCCCTATTTCGAAATACTTTGCCAAACAGGTAGATAGATGGTATTGGCAAAAATTGTTCCTCCCAGCAAATTATGTGTCATATGTTGCGAGTATGACGTGTAAAGTCCGCTTAACACCATGTGGTCTACGAATATTAATATTAATTATGAATAATGCAAAAAGTCAACTTATTATTGGAATCCTATTGAGAAAATAACCTTGTATAAATAAGTTAGGAAGTATTGGTGGGTCGGCTCAACTCAAGTTTAATAAAAAAATTATCCGAATTTTCTATGTATTTTTCCTAAAGTAAATATTTTTTGTATCCTGATTACAGGAATGTTTTTATACCCTCAGTTTTTTATTAAAACTACTGATACGGCCAAAACGTGGCTTATCGAAATAACGGTTTTAGAGCCTAGGTATCTTTGGACCAAATTCGTTTCAGGACATTTGCAGTCGATTTAGCCTGTCCGTCTATCTGGCTCTTTAAGGGAGTATCCGATTTGGTCCAAACTTGGTACATGGTAATCTTTTTATCAACCATAGATCGATTTCGGAACAATATTGGTCCACTTCTTCTGGTACCTTCTCCCAGAAAAGATCATTTTTTCGTTTAATGAAAATTTTGAAAATCCCAATATATTTTTCCACTCCAAAAAGTATCTCCCAGAGGGGTCCAAATTTTGAAAAAAATTTGAATCAGGACATTTGGTGTCGATCTACGGATATTCGTCCGTACGTCTGTGTAGTTGGTGCGTACAATATCTCTCGAAGGGGATATCCGATTTGGCTTAAACTTCGGTACATGTTAATATTATTATCAAACTTAGATCGAGTTGCAGATGGGCAATATGGGACCACTCCTTCTGCTACCTTCCCCACAAAAGGTCAACATTTTAAAAAATAATAATTTATCTCATAGAAAGAGAAAGATCTTCCGTTTTTGTGAAAATTTGGCAAATCCCAATATTTTTGTCAGTGCTAGGACAGGTGCGAAAATAGACAATATCGGCTCACTCCATCAAGTACCTTCCCCACAAAGGATCAAAATTTCGAATAATGATAAGTTTTATAAAATGAGAAATAAAAGTCCGATTGTCTTCAAATTTCACACATCCCAATATTCCTATCAATTACAGATCTGGTGTGAAGATGGAATATCCAGGACCTTTTTTTGTACCTCCCCCACAACAGGGTCAAAATTGTACAGGGTTGCCCATATTCGACGAACCCATGTTTTTTTTTTTTTTTTAAATCAAAGAAAAATAATAAGAATTTGGCGGTTGGCAATGTTAATCATTTAATTTTGCACGGGAACAAATGCAAATCAATGCGAATAATCCGTTGTAAAGTGGATCGAGCCATGTCCATCTGCTGAGAACGGCGTTTTGGGGACCTCTCAACACTGGCTCGTACGGCAGAGCGCTCGCGTGACGTGTATTGGTTCATGGTAAAAATCTGCTTGGACTGATGCTTCAAACGCGGTATGTCAATAAGCGATGTGACATCTCTGTTAAAAGTTATGACGTTGCCAGATGGGTCCGTCGAATATGGGCAACCCTGTAAATTCTTAAAACTCTCATAAAATGCGAAATAAGCATTCGATTATTTCGAAACTTCGCATATTCCAATATTTCTATCAACACAAAATCTGTTGTAAAGATGGTATATATCGGTCCACTCCTTCCGGTACCTCCCCCACAAAGGGTCAACATTTTGAATAATTATAACATCATAAAATGCGATATAAACTCCTGACTCTTTCGAAACTTCACATATCCTAATATTTTTATCAACACAAAATCTGGAGTAAATATGGAATATATCGGTCAACTTCTTCTGGTACCTCCCCCACAATGGGTCAAAATTTTGAATAACCAAAGCGCTCATAAAACGGGAAATAAGTATCCGATTGTTTAGAAACTTTACATAGTCTAATCTTTCTACTAAAGCAATATCTGATGTGAAGATAAAATATACCGAACCACTCCTTTTGGTACCTCCCCCACAACGGGTCAAAATTTTGAATAATTAAAACTCTCAGAAAATGCGAAATAAGCATCTGATTATCATCAAATTTCACACAACTCAATATTTTTATAAACACAAGATCTGATTCGAAGATGGGATGCAACTGTCAACTCCTTCAGGTACCTCCTTGACAATGGGTTAAAATTTTGAATAACCGATTCGCTCATCCAATTATCATCAAATTTCGCAGGTTCTCGTCTTCGTATAGCCCCCTTGTAACGGTTTTTATTTTAACAGTGTTTTTAGACGAAATTTTCTTTTTTTCCTTCAAGAACTTGGCTGCTCTTTTACTTGTTCCATTTCGAAACACAACATAATGATGTATATTAACTTAATTTTTTTAAATTATTTTAATAATTACCCATACTTGTTATGAAGTTTTCAAAATCTCACAAAGAGATCAACGACACGCGCCAACCATAAGCGCCTTTTTACGTCGTATCATCAGATATTAAATGCCGACACAAGACCTCAAAATGTTCATCCATCCTTTAATGCTACCAACAACAATAACAACAAAAATCACCACCAGAAACAACATAATTAGCACCCGGCATTAAGAATAACCTTACCATTGAGCGGCAAAGATTAACCCTTGCCACGCTACCTTTGAAAGGTAAAATAGCAGCTATCAATGGAGACCCTTCTACAAATCTCATTATCAGTCATAATGTCCAATGGCGTTGTTGTTGTTGTTCTTGTGGGTCCATCAATGGGTAATCCTTAAAATCATTTCTTTGGTTTTGTTTTTGATAATTTGATTTATCTTTAATTTTGAAAAGAAACGTATGAAGTTGTAGAGGGAGAGGAGAAGGTTAGATTATCAAAGCGTAATGTCTCTTTAAAACGGCAATGATCTTTTTTTCTCATGGCTTACGTTCTCTTTCTTAATTTGTTCGAACATATGTATAATGGTACCATTGTATTATTTTCAGTTATCCAATTAATTTTCATCTTTCACTGCTCCAAAAAAACACAAAAATCCACACAGATTACCCAAATCACCCGAATGAGAATGAAATTGAACTCTGTACCCAGCGAGCTTTGAAATCGGTAATAATGCATGTGTCAGACAGAGAGTGAAGTATTCCCCTTTAAATTGACGACGTCTTGATTCTTTTGTTGTTGCTGTTTTTTATTTTCGTTAAATGAAGTCATTACAAAATCATATTTTTCAAAATCAGAGCACTATTTGTTTCATTTTTTTTTTTTGAAATTGGGAACAAAAGACTTTTGGGTCTGATATCATCCGTTCACACGGCACGTTTCCAAATATAAAATAAAAAATAGTTGTGCTCCAGTTTTGAGATTTGTATGTTTTCGCCTTCTTCCCTCTCCTTCGTCGTCAAGTTTGTCGTTCTTTCTTTATTTGAAATGATAAGTACTTTCTTTTAGGTCTCTCTGTATGGAACGTCGTTAATTTCTTGAGATGAAGAGAAAAAACTCTTTGAAACAATACAAAAATGAATGTTTTGATAAAGATGTGTAGGTCATTGATTAATTTCTCTCAGGCACAAGTCGTTTGTTGGGATTTTGAATATAAATTTTTATAGCCTCTACCATACATAGTATGTAGGGTATATTAAGTTCGTCATTCCGTTTGAAACTCATCGAAATAATCATTTTAGACTTAACAAAGTATATATGTATAATATTGATCAGCGTAAAATTCTAAGACGATTTAGCCCTGTCCGTCTGATCGCCTGTGCGTCTGTTGTAATCACGCTAGAGTCAAAACGAATTAAGATAAGAAGCACAAATTTTGCACAGATCTGTCTTTTGTCTGCAGGCAGGTCAAGTTCAAAGATGGACTATATCGGTCCACGATATCGTATATCCCCCATATAACAGTACCTCCCGATAATCAGTTTTTTTTTTGATGATTTTAGCCATATTTTCCAATGAAATTATCTGAAATTCTGCACAAGGAGCCCTCTGTGAGTACTTTATCCCCTGAAAGAGAATTGTCTACATAGGACCACGTTTTAGTATAGCACCCATATAACGATTCCCCTAGATATTCGATATTATCATAATTTTTGCGACATTATTCACCGGAATTCTTTCAAATTTCGTATCTAAAGTTATTAAAAATTCAGCCCGGCCGAACTTAGCTGCTTTTGTTCTTGTTTAAATACGTTTTGACTTGCGTTA